GGGGGGAAAACTCCCCACCTGTCCCTGCATTGCTGCAAGGGCCTTAGAGAGGCTGAAGGCATATGACTGCCAACACAAACCAATGGACGAGACAAGGTAGCAGAGCAAGCATCAGAAACAGCTTTTAGAAGAAGGAGCTAGAGGAAGTACTTAGAAGGCTGTAAGTTCTCCTCCTGGGAAGGTTTTATTTCAGCCTCACTTAAGGCAAGACTTCCTGCAACAGATATGTATTTTTCCTTTTCAGAAATAATTAGTCCTTTGTGTTATTTTCAGAAAACAATGTAAAAGTTATAGAAGAGAAGTGACTGGAGAACAGAACCTAAAGAAAGGCTTTGAGACAAAGAAAAATATCACAATATTTAAAGCCAATATCATCATTGTTTTAGCTTGTAAAATTAGTAACACTGAAGCTTTTTGGGGGAAGGTATAAATGCATAGTATATGAAGGATTTTTAACAATTAATAGACATTAACTCATTTCATACTTCACACATTAGAGGTGTATCAACAGATAGTTATCAACTCTGGCTATAAGTATTTGACAGTCTACTAAGCACTAAGTAATAAGTACCATTAGGAAAAGTAAATTTTGATGTTAAGAGAGTATTTTAATCACAATACAAAAAAGCAAGAACATAAGCATTGAAGAGAATCATTAGAATTCCAGTACACACGTTCAAACTAAGGATTTACTTAACAGTGATCATGCTAAATATCAACATATCCAACAAAGATAAAAAGCAAACAGACTGCTAGGAGAGGCAAGAAAAATACTTATGTTTGAGTCCTAGTATTTTTTTTTCCTATGCAAGACAAAATACCGTGAAGGAACAATAATTCATAGACAATTCAGCTATGCTTTGTCATCCAACACAGACCCACTGGATATACTTGCACATCACCAAACACTAGTTCTCAAAGCCATTAGAAATAAGTAAGTAGCTTTCATTAAAATCCTCAAAACATACAAAACATTAAGCACTAAAACATAGGAACCACATTTATAGATAAAAGGAACATTCACACCAACCCAAAGTGATTGCAGCTCCTTCTAAACAACAACCATCACAGTAATACTAGGAGAATAACAAATATTTACCTACCATGCCTCTAAAAGGGGTCATCTTCTGTTCAGATACTGATTCTAAAACCCTCCTCAAAATAATTACTGAAGGAAGGCCTGAGCCACTTTCTAAGGAAAACTATGAGTGGCTCTCAACTCACTGCAGGGTTGGTAGATGAGGTCTTAATTGCCTCCCTCTACTAATGAACTAATCTCTAGCACCTGGAACTAGCAGGCTCCACACAGGGCAGGCAGGGCTCAGGTTACCAAAGAAATGCTCCAAATATATTCACACAAATCACTAACCCTGCAGATGTGCAAATATTGCTTTTGTCATATTGCTGGAGAGATGGACATATGTTTGCAGTGCTGCTGCACATAAAACCTAAAGATGAATTCATTGTATTACGTTAATCCCTTCCAGAGGCCAGGTGGGCATTTGGGAAGCCAGATAAGCGTGTTGGTTATCCACATTACTCTTTGCATTAATCCACTTGTTATGTGATAAAGAATATCTCAGACATTCAGGGTGTAAATATATAAATGGCTGGAAAAAATATATGCACATCATGAATGGCTATTGTCTGTAAAATGAATTCTAATCAAGAGTTTAACCTAAAATGTTTGCTAAAATCTGAACAAGGCCAAACTTTGATGATGTCTAGAGTTTTAAGATTACAGTTAAAAAGACCTGGAAATTGCTAGAGGAAGTAAGCCAGCCCCAGTGTAAGCCCTGTGAGACAAACTACTACACTTTTAAAGAATTTTTAAAGATTTTCACTGGTAAACCATTCTCTATGACCTCAGAAATTAAATCAGGTGTCATACAGCTTTCCATCCAACCTTCCACAGATTTGTTCTTCTTCCGTGGACAGATTATGCTGATAAACATGTGTCAAGTTCTAGGTATGTGTCTGGTTTCATTTGAGGAGGGAAGAATGATATAAACAAAACATACTTTAGCAGGAAAGTACAGGGGAGCAGGAACAAGCTGTCTTCTTGGTCTTTGACAAATTGCTAAAATGCATAGCTGGCTGGCTTTTGATAAAATTCATCCAGGTTAAGTAACATTAAAAAAAGAATTATCCTGATTTATTCATGTGCCTCAACATAACATTACTGATATTGATTACTTAGACAAAACACCTAGTCTTTTTACAAGCACAAGTAAGAACATCTTTCTGAATTATCTACCATGTTTCATAGCATACCACATTTTGCCCCCGCTTCTTCCAGACACCACAAAAGATCAGATAAACCCACTTATATTGACTCTTTCAGGTCAGAGACCTGAATAGACTAAATTTTAGATATTGATTGAATAATTAACTTATGGCTTTACTGAAAAAAATTGTTCAGGCATTGCGCAAGTGAGGTTCAGTTTTGAAAGTAAAAACATGTAGAAAAGACAGCTCTAAAGGCTTAGTGCTCAGAGTCTACCAGCACTGAGGAGAATCCAAAAAGAAACATCCATGCACAGTGCAAATCCCCTCACCCCTCACTGCTGGCCAAATTCCCAAACAGACTTCCTTCAGAAATATATTTAATTAATACTGTTTAATGCAGACTGCCAGCATACACTGAGGTACTCCTACTATCTTGAAGAACATCCCAATAGGGAACAATCCCATTTATCTTCTACTCTCTAGTAATTAGCAGAAAAGTGGGCTCAATTAATTAATTATCATTAGCTAGCATGAACACTAAAAACCAGTAGCAAAAGTCCCTCAGATAGACGAATTACAGAGACATTGTCTATTTAATTAATGCAACCTCTGAGGTTGAAGAGAGCAGCAGAAATAACAACCTTTCCGCTGATTTCATGTGTGATAGTCAGGCTCTGTGTGATGAAGCCAGGCTCCAGCAGGCAGGAGTATTGCTTCTTCCAAACTGCTTAGCTAACCCAGCGCTTTGGAAAAGCAGTTAGGAGCTGGTAAATAGACTAACATCAGGGAGACACCTGCTTGCTGGTGCTTCTGTCGCCATGTGGCCATACGATGCAGAGAACAGTGGTGCCACAGGCAGTAAAATACCTCTTGAGGCTTTGCTATTGAGCACTAAGCCAGCACTGAGGAAAATGAATGCTGTATCCTCACAAAGGGATTTATTTACCTTTTTTCTCCACAGGAAGAATATTCTATGTGATAATATGCATCTATACTTAATTCTTCGCTTCTCCTCGCCACTCACATGCATTCCCAACAAAGGTTATAAAAGATACTTATACCTAAGAGCAGAACAAACGCCCCTCTGAAAATTCACTGCTATTAAAACCATCAGTGAAGCTAAATAAAAGCAATAAGGCACTTAAGCAGTTTAGGAAGGAATCTTATTTTATGTTGTGTTTGTAAGGAAAGGGGTACATAGACTTTCTCAGATACCTCCAAATAATTTTGGCATATATAACACCTTTCTGTCATCATACATTAACAAAAATAATACTAAAAAAAATTTAGGGACTGTATTGAGGAAAGGGAAATGATTCATGACCCTAAACCATTTCTTATAAAACCTCTTTTTGCTTACTCATAATTTTTTTCTATATTTAGTCACTTATGACAAGGTCCCTGGTGATTTACCCTTCCCATGACCTCAACTTTTTTCACTGAAGAGCTGGTATTAATGTGGCTTTTGAGGCTACCTTTTGAAGCATTTGTTCATGTTTCAGCTGTTACTGATGAGCATTCATTTTCATGGAAGGTTCTTTTTTTAGCATGCAGGATAGACATTGTCCCTTCCTACCAACACTGGGCTCATTCTGCAGCTAGCGAGGGGCTGGGGTACTCCCAGGGCATTCCCATCTGCCTTGCTATGCAGCGTGAGCTCTGTTTCGCCTCTCTGGACACCGAGCAACACTTCCTGGGCAGACCAGGCCCTCAGCAGCCTAATATGCTGTCTTGAACAGGACCATACGGCACTACTAACTGTTATTGGGTTCAGAAAAAAAAAAATCATATATGCCTGCATATCTACCAGGTCCTGGTGAAGATAAATGAAGTCCTAAGATGGAGAAATGAAGTTCTAAGGTGGAGGTCTGAATTTCAGCTGAGTTTAGAGTGCAAACCGTTTTGAAAATATCTCACTTTTACATTCATGTTCTGTTGAGGTTCTAGGTGTATATGTACAAAACAGAAAAATGGGAGAGGAAAATAAAGACTTGGGAAGCAATCCTACTTTGTGGAGTGAGTGAATGCCAAAGTTGCTACTGATTTCAGTAGGGCGGGAGTTTCAGCTTTTTTCATGTCAGCAAAAATCATCATTTGCTGACAAACAAAACAGGATAAAATCTGCCTTTCCACTCTGTCTTGATCTTTTTCACACCTGCCTACTTTTCACTACAGTGGCCTACAGCCAGCAGGAGTTGTGACAAAAAGAGATGTTCCCTAAGTGGGATCTCATGCAACAATTTCTAAATTTCTAAACGATCTATGACAACTTGCACGCAAAATATTCCTGTTTTCCAGGCAGCCTTACGAAGAGTCTAGTGAGTCCTCTGTAGAAATTTGCCTCACGCTTGCTCAGTAAATTGGCTACTGAGTTAAAAGCACACTGCTCTTAGCCTTTGATATTACAGGAAGTTTTTATTTTCATTTATCTGTGGAGGGACATAACAGTGCATGTTATAACATCATATTATGTATTCCAAAAAACCTTTGGTCTTTTATAAATCTCTGTGTGTGAAGCCATCTTTTCCTCTGTCACGGAGAACTGACAGGTTGCCTGCCATCACCTACTCTCCTGCAAAGTCAGCAGCCCACACTGTCAGTGTGAAAACATCTGTTGAATGGATTTATTGACTAGGTCTTGGGTGCATTTTTTTTCACACTGTTTATTACAGCCCTGACCTAATGAACTTAATTTGTTGACATGTTTCCCTCAGTGTCTTACTTGATCCCTTCTCACGTTTCTTTCTACTGTGCTGTTTTCTTGGCAACAGCAGTTCCTGGCGCATCGGCGTGTCCACCAGTTGCAAATCTACCAGGCTCAGATGGCTACAGTTGGCATGGCAGGATTAGATAAACATCGGCCTGTTTCCAGGACCCCGTCTTCCCCCGCTGATTCCACATTACCTCACCCAGCCATGGACCAGCCCAGCCAGCATGTCTACACAACTGGTAGGATTCCCTAAAGACTGCTTTTAATAGGCAGGGCAAATGCGTTTGTTCATGTAGGATCAACTGATTTAAATGCCTTGAATACCTCCTGCAGCAATACATTCATTTTTAGCCTCACTGGTTCCTGGTTTTATGATGCTGTACTGGCATCAAGTCAGCCAGTGCAGCTGATAAATCACAGGGTTAATATTCACACAGTCATAAATTATTATCGTTGACTGGCTCTGGCAATATAGCAACAGGTGCATTTTTGCTGCCTTTAAGTCATTTATAACTTTTTCTTTCATTTCCCTATCCTCTGGCTCTTTTCTCCATGCTCTTGTTGCTTGTTTTGTAAGGAGACCACCAATAAGTTGAAGAAAGACCACCAGTAAGTAGTAAAGCTGCAATATAATTCTCAACATCTTCATTTGAAAAGTCAATCCATGCTACGGAGTTGTTTTTACTACAGCAAAAGCGAAGCTGTAGCACTGACCGGAAGGTGATGTTAGCTATAACTTTGGTGTCTCTTAGCAGTTGTGTGAAAACTTTACAGAGGAAAGCTTTTCTGGTCAGGCACTGGGTAGTCCAGTCACTCAGGGAGCATCCCATATAGGTATTGTCTAGGTTGCCCAAAGTAGAGTGATTAGGACCCCAGAAACCTTCACTGAAAGGGAGAAAATGACCACAGAATATCTTTCTTATTATAGGCACCCTAACCTTCCAAGAGGTCCCATCTTTTTAATAGCATGAATCTCAGCGTGACATTACAACATGGTTTGAAGCACTTTCACTTTGTGCACGTGAAAGTGGGAGTGACGCCACCTGGAGATGCTGTTTATTCAGGTTTCTGCCATAAGTATTAATTCCGTCACATTTGTTGGCAGAACTTGCCATGCTCTAAAAGCATACGATTCTTGAGATCATGGCTGTGAACTGATGTAGGAGTGGAGTCCTTAATGGGCACTATATTTGGCTGTGTGCTAGACAATGCGCTGTCTGTGTAGAATGTGGACTTTGCAAGCAACATTTATTATTTTATATTTATTGTTTTAAATAAAAAAGTATAAAAGAAAAAAAAAAGATGGCCTTAACACATTGAAAGTAATTGGGTGAATGGATGCAAGTGACATTCAAAGATGAAAGACATAATTTCCCCTTCTGCAAACATACCGTCAATTTAGGCCTTTCACTTATTGGGTAAGAATTGTCTGGACTGTATAAAGACAAACATGCTAATACACTTTCCATGAGTTTCAGCAAAAAGATCAGCCGTGTATAGAGGCCAGGCCACTGTTTTTCTAGTTGTTGTTCAAGATATTTTAAATTCATTTTAAAAGATTCACAGAAGACAACTGAAAGAAGCTTACTGTGTGTAGGCTTCAATATCCTAGTCAGAAATCTGCTACTCCACTGGAAAAGTGGAATGGAATTGCAAATCTAAAGGCTGCTGTTTCAATCTCATTGCTCAGGTTTACTGACACCTCCCGTTGTAAGTCCTCAGAAAGGGGATTGGGGTCAGTGGTGTAACATATATCTGGGGAACTGTGGCATTGGTGGCACTAATTAAAGAAGAAAACATGAAGTTGAGATGGAAGAGTAAGAAGAGAAGAAATTAAATGATATAGGACAGATATTGAATGCAGATGGTGTCAGGGAATGGGACATACCAGGCATAAAAGGGTTGAGATTCGACACAGGGAAGCTTGATAAGGTTTTAGATGCACTGGAGTTGCATATGGAAATGCCAGTCGTGCACATCACACAGTTGGGCTATATTAAGATTAGGCAGACAGTTTAAACTCATCCTTTTAGAAAAGCATTGTTATGTGAACAATAGCAGTGGGATTTGGAGAAAGAAAGAGAGAAAACATGCAGCTCGTTACAACTGAGATTGCCAGTTAATCTTTGAGCTCCTTTCCCACGGTCTTACAACTTCAGTCCCTTATTGCTTCTGCATCTCCCCTTGCTCTCTGTACCTTCATCTCCCTTTCATATCCGTTATGTATGTATGTATCCGTTGTGGCTGAGGAAGGCATAGTACAGTGCTATAGCTGCTCCCAAGCCATAGGTATGCTAACTGGCCAGCTGGTGCCCACTGGTTGCCGGGTCTGCAGGTTCAACAGAACATTCGCATTCATGGGGAAACCTTTCCTTTCTCCTCAAGAGAAATCTGCGTCCTCGACATCTCTCTAGGCTTCTCTTCAACTCAGCTGAAATGGCAAGGTGGCTCAAAAGTTACTGGCTCTGCAAGGGCATAAACTGAATAAGGATCTGAGTTGTTTAAACTGACTGTGTGCCCTGCACTCTCATTCTCTGAATTAATAAAATTATCTATTTCTCTTCCTATTTACTTCTATAATCTATATCACGGCAGTTTCTGGGTGCATTGAAAATAGATCTACTTTTGATTGTATGAGATTATCATCTTTGGTGTAATAATGCTCAGAGACCTTGAAATACAGTTTCTGTAAATAATATGAGATATATGTACTATTAAGGAATGGTGTGGTATGGTATAGTTTTATTTTTGCATATTTTTTTCTGGGTCTGGACAGTGTGCACCCGCAAAACGCAGCCAGCCTTTACCCACAGCAGTTGCTACATTACCCACCATTTGTATAAATATGGAAGGGAGGAATGGGTGGAGAGGTAGAAAAATCAGGTACATCAAGTACAGCACAAAGTGAGCATAAAGTAAGGCCAAATTGAGGCCTTATAAGTCATTGCAAAAAAACAAAAAAAAACCAAAAAACCCCAACACACCTCCCTGACTTAAATTATTCCTTATTGCTTATTGTTTATTTTTTCTAAAGATAATATATTCTTGGAAGAGAAAAAAAGTACGATGAAAACTGTTGTGGCAGAACATTATACCAGGATCAAAATGAGCCTTTTTTTTTTTGAGGTTCATGAGAAAAAATATTCTTAGCCAAATATCTGAAGGGAATCAGAATAATGATGATTATGAGAGAGAAAGGCAGTATATATTCAGTATATACACAGCACAATAAGCTAAAGATGGAAAAGAATATAAAATCTACTTGATGTTCATTTGGAAGATTTACAGAAGATTTGCTATTACTTAATTTAGATTTTTGTTCTGAATAATTTATTAGAATCTCTCCCCTTGGGTTTTGGTTTTGATATTGTTGTTCTCCATGACATTTCACAGTCTTCAAAGCATGCTGTTAGCCAATGATTTTTAAGTCTCTCTCTCCACTCTTTTCAAAACAGTGTTAAAAGAAGCTGACCTAAATAGAGTATTTTGGAATAGAATGAACGTTAGGGAGTCCCCTCTAGGAAGACCTTGCTTTTTCTAACTCAATGCAAATTCAATGTCTTTTGTCCTGTGTCCTCTATCATTACATGGTTCGGTGGTGTCACCATTCCAGTCTGTCATCAGGGCCGCATTCTGACCTCAGTGATGTTGGTGTAAATCCAGAATAAATCCACCAGTCTCAGTGGAGCTGCTCAGATTTACACAAGGAATCTGAGAGCAGAATCCGGCTGTAGGCATTTGTTCTGGAGAGACAGAGTAACCATCTTTTATTAATATTTCACAGCAGTCTGCAATTGAAAACAGTTGTCTCCCTCTCTCTTTCTCTCTTTTTATAGGGGTGGGGAAATTATTGGCTGAATCCTGCTAGGGAAATCCTACAGGCTATTTTTAGCAGTAAGCTCTACTGCTGCATCGTGGTATTGTACCAAGCACATGTGCTGTGTGACCAGCAGCCACACATCTGAGTTACTTGCACATCCTAAATCAATTTAGATGGCTGCAGTAAATGAAAACATATATTTGAGACTTTTCTTAAGTCAATTAATCCTGTTCAGAAATAAATTTTGCACTCACTGGTGTGAATATCCTACTATTTAGAGGTTTGGAGTGGATGGTTCTGTCATACATTACTGACCTAACCTGATTAAAATGATTTTTGCTTTGGACAAAATAATTTACGTACTATAAAATTACATTTTTAGTCATATTCTACTTTGGGAAACATACTGGTGAAGCAGTGCTGCCACCACTGAGAAAGGGCTGTTTATACCTGTGTCAGCCAGAGGAGGCATCCTGGATACATAGTTTTCAGCATTTTATTTCAAAACGGCATCCCTGATGTAGTTTATCAAAAAGTACAGTTATTACATAATGTCTTGCTTCTGTACAAAAGTAACAGAGTAAAGCATTTATATTTTATTTCTTTCAAATGAAGCTTGGTTTATGCAAATCTAACGCTGTAGGGAACATTCATAATTAGGGTAAAATGCTGGTTGAAAGAGTGGCAGGCAGGAGATACTTTCAACCAGATTTGTCAACATTTCATTGAAATCCATTGGTTGTAAGTGCCTGCTCTGCTCTGCCTCAGTCCTTGTTGAAAATCCTCCTGCATACCTGTACATTTAGCATCGACACGCTCCAGAAAATCCAATCTGTTACCTTTTCTGCTGAGCAGGGGAAAGGGTTTCTTATTTAACTGTAAACGACCACTGGCAAATTGTACAATCAGCATTTGCAATAGAATTTAGAAGTTAAAACTATGGGTGCCAAGAAAAGGAAAGCAAGGTGTGTAAGCATGCACCTATTTACATGCACACTTGCTGTTTCAAATAACTTGTAAGACCTGATGATAGAGCAGTAAAGCTATAAACTGCACAATGCAAATAACTCCAGAGAAAGGAAATTATTAACTGCTTTGGCAATGCCAGCAGATTTTAAGCTGCATTAGTTTATTAGCTCCAGATTTTCACTAGTTCTTTTTTTTCTTTAAAAGAAACAAAGCAAGAAAGTAAGTACAAGAATTTATTGCTAGTGCACTATTCAGTTTGTTAGATAATAATTCAGCATAAACTTAGTCATGCTGCACCAAGATATTATTTTTATGTGCTCCTTATGATAAACATAATTGCCATGTTATCATTTTGGCTTAAATAAGAAGATCCCAGAGGATCAGATCTAAAATGCATGAGCTAAGTAATATGGCAGCACAAATATTTCTGGAGCAGCATAATTAGAAATTTCTGGCTTCTAAGTGAATTATCTCAGAACCTTAACTTTGCATTACCCACAATGTAAACAGACTCTTATTCTGTAGAGTTCTTAAACACTTTATTAAAGTTCAATACCCATTCAAGGACTTTGCTGGATAAGGGTGGTATTGAGCATGTTGTTGAATCTGGACTTTAATTTTGTAATTTCTTCACTGGCTGAATTTTCAGTAGCAGGCTAACACAATTTTCCCAGAAGTGTGTTGGCAACCTAAGTAGTGGTGGCACATAAGAAAGAAGTTTTGAATGCCAAGTTTTGCAGCTTGGAGAAACTGTTAATTTGAGTCCCTTTCTACTGTAAAGGAAAGAAAAATCCAATTTTTTCCAAATGAAAATGGCTCACAGTGGTAAGGAAAATATTTTTTGTTTCAGACATTCCTGAGGAAAATGCAAACAACGAATAAGTAAATAAAATTGTTTTTCAGTGTCTCAGACTTGGTTTGAAAGCCTTGAAAACTGAAGGTTAGTTATCTCTGAGTCCACTGGCTATAATCCTCTCTTTCTTCAACAATGTACAGCTACAGAGAAATGTCATATTGATAGCTATTCCCTGTAATATGGTTCTATCCTTGCATAAATGAACCCCCTAAATTCAAAAGGAACCTTACATTGTCATCTAACAACAGGATTTGGTCCCAATTCAGAAATGAGTGGAATTTTTTTAAATGAAAAAAGGGCTCTGGCTGCCATGGCTGCAACTCTCTGAAATGTATATATGATATATTTTAAGATCTGGACTTAATATAATATTACTTAATCAACAGAAATACAGAGTGGTATTGTCGTTTTAAAAGATATTATAAAAAGAGGTTTCTGAATGATTTTTCCATATCCTGCAATGAAAATATGACCTTTTCTTGTTATAAACATGTTTATTACAGCCTTAACTGTCCACTAGAAAAAGAGAAAATAAATTAATCAGTAATTCAACTGATCTTTTTCTAGCCATAAAAGCTATTACAAGAGACTACCCATTACCTTTTTCTGTACAGTTTATTATGTTTGTTAGTATAATTTCATGGGGTTAATTTCTACCTTCTAGATGAGACAAGACGCATCTTTTCAGTCTAAATGTGGAATCTCCCAGAATTACATGGAATTAAGATCCAGAATTTTCATCTTGTTCTTACAGACAAACAAAATCCAGTTGTTCTGTAATATGCATGGCATGTGACTGTATAACTTGCATTTGTTTTGCTTACTCTTTCTTATTGTACTGTTTTTGTGCTGAAGGTGTTGTGTATGACAGTCTGATGCTGAAGCACCAGTGTATGTGTGGCAACTATACTAATCACCCTGAACATGCTGGAAGGATACAAAGCATCTGGTCAAGGCTGCAAGAAACTGGGTTGCTAAACAAGTGTGAGGTAATAAACAACAACAACAAAAAGACCAGATCGTTTACTTGTTTAAGTAAAGGGCAAATTTATTAAATTCTAAATCTGTCTTCCTTCTGTAATAATAGAATTATTTGTCTAAGGAATTATTTGGAATTAGTTGACGATATTAAAATAGTGCATTTTAAGAAAGCGCACTTCCCAATCAGAAAAAAAAGAATTTATATAACGAAAGTCATTTTTCCACAAGCATCAGGACATGAAATCCAGACATAACTGTGATCCTCACCTTGATACAGGAGGGTAGACAGGCAGTAGCAAATGGCAAGTACAGTCCTTCCAATAACCCAGTTCTTAATTTCTTCAAGAAGTTAACAATTTTACTTTTGTAATAGCATAGAACACTTTTTTTTTTATTTGTTTAATGTAGTTCCTATCACTCCATAAGCACATTGCATCTTGTCTTGTTTCAGGCTATAAAGCCTGTTTTCATGAGCATTTTCATTTGCCAGGAGTAAAATGCGTGCCAAGTCAAAAATCAAGATATTTAAGCTCAATTTCCTAGAATATCCATGCAACTCTGAAATTTTCTTCTATTTTGATTTACTTTACAGAAATGTAGACTAAAGCATTATACTTGAATTGAATATGGGCTCCTAGATTCATTCTCAGGCCCTTGGCTACTGAAAAAGAAGTCTTTACCAGCTACTTACTGCTTCCCATGAGTGGTACAGCACTGTCAAGTTCTGCAAAAGAATATGGCAATTGAGGGAGCTTACTGCTTTGCAGCACAAGTTTTAAAAAAGCTCAGTGCAAACTACTACTGAGGAAAATAATTGTTTGCTTACATTTTGTGGGATCCCGCCATTGCCTGCACTCATATACTCAATTTTTTGATTTACTTTTTTTATATATTTAGATTTTTTACAAATACAAGGTAACTTGTACTATAGCTCAATTTTCTGGGAATTAGTGATCTGCAAAAAAATCTGCAAAGATTTTCTACAACGTAAGGAGCCAAGTGCGCTGGGCTCTGAGATATTGCTAGCGTTATGAATGGATTTGTTGTGCACACTCCTCTAACTAGATGGCAGCACTCTAACAGGCTAATGTTTTCTTTAGCTCAGATAATTTTTTCAATCTTCAAGAAGGCTTTCTTCCAGTAAGGTCCTTAAGGCCATGTATCACACGAGTAGTTTGATTGAGGGGATCACATAATTAGGGAGTAAGTTAAAGCTGAGTATGCACTTGAGCGCTTTACTAAAAGGAGGCCTCGTTGCCTTGTTGACTCAGGAACCATAGCATACGGAAAAGAAAATGAGAGAAAATCAGTAAAATGCAGAGTGCTGCTATGCATTATTTTTCAATAATAAATATATTGCTGAAGAGTAAAGGGTATGGAATCTGAAAAAGGTGTGAACTGGTAAAATGGTACAGGTTGGTTCTGAGGTACGTGCAGTCCAACAGTTTCCTGGATGATTTAAAGTTTCCTCTTACAATTCTATACTTTCACAAATGGAAATATAGCTTATCGAGTCCTACAAATTCCAGTGAGTAGGCAGAGAGGAAGTAAATCACTTTATATCAAATGACTTACAATTAATTTTGACTCCTGTTATGTTTTTTAAAATGAGGCTGGAATGTGAAAAGAGCTGTCAAAATGAAAACTGAGATGATAAGAGTTTAAGGTACTTCATTGTGAATAGGGTACATAGATCTGGTGCATATCTTGATCCTCTTATATAGCTAAAGACAGGATTGCATTTGATAATCTAAGCTGTCCTTTGCTTCACCGAATTATCTTTATCACTCGCTTGACACCAAGCACATCCTGAAATATACTTGCTTTTCAAAATGAGGCAGGCTGAAGTTATTTGCTTCAGTGGTGCTCGAATTCTTTAGAAAAGTTATTCAGCTGAGTATATGACTTGGGTCTCTAAAGGAAAGGTTATTGCATTATTCAAGAAATAATAGGCTGTCACAATTAAACTAAACTGCAGAATATGCTACACTAGGGATGCAGAGCCAAAGCCTCACAAGCAACTGCATTATCTCTTTTATTGACTTCTGAATGCACATTAATATTTTTTAATGTAATTTCTCAATATAATTTCCGTGAGCTTCTGTCTGAAGGAGTGAAACGATAGGAGGAGGCCGCTGGTCAGGTTCTGCCATGTCCATTGCCTCATGCACCAAGTGTGAAGGGTGGCTCAGGAGCAGTAGCCTGCAACAGCCATTCAGGAAACCCTGCAGTCATGAACCTGCAGGAAGTTTTTCATTAAAAGGTAGTACAGGATTTCTCTATACAACACAAGTCAGCACTAGTTGGCAAGCCCTACTGTTAATGACAGAAGTGTGTTAGCAAAGACCTCTACTAGGATTATTGGCCTGGAGATTGCCCAGGAAGCAGGTGAATTAGTCAGGCTGCAGTCCCACACTTCATCCAATGAGATATTTTCAGAACCAAGCTAATACATTCAGAGGAAGCTCTGACGTCTTTACCTTGCACTGCACCACGCACTGTATGTATCCTTAGTGACAGCTGTGTGTCGGTGGGGCCCTTCCTGCTTTCTTAATCTAGCAAGAAACCTTTATGCAAATGAACAGTTGATGGCTATGTAATCATCTTTGTTATCTGCACCGGGGAGTAAGACCTGGTTCCTAAATCACGTGGTGTGGATTAACCCCTCTCACACAGTTCAGGTCTGCCGCCCTGGGGAAGAGAGTGCCCATGTGTATGGAGAGGCCAGTCACCACCAGCCGGGCAAAGGGTGACTTCCATTAACTGCAGTGAGCAAGCACTGCGTCAGCCCCACATACTTCCCATATATAGCATGATATTTAAAATATAACTTGGTAAAATCATAACAAGGTTTGACTGGGGTACTCAAAGCTGTGTCTTCATTACAAAATTAAATGTGCCTGGGACTGTTCTCCACCACTCAGGCCAACTGGCATGGAAAGGCCCATGTTCATACTATCAGGAATGCTCCTTGCCTCATGCCAGAAACCAAACCATGTCTGGGAGCTGTTTGGGAGAACGCTAGTTGCTCCTCAGCCAAAACGGTGTGAAGGACCACTTTAGCAATTTAATAGTAGAGATGACTATGTTCCTCTGCCTGGGAATGTTTCCTGGCACTAGTCAATTTACTGCTGCAGATGCAGCCAAAAGGACTTGCTTCTGCAGACTGTATTTTGTCTTTCTATCCATAGGTATTTGAGCTCCAGAGTTATTCAAGCATGGGTTTACAAGAGTTTTGCTAAATCTGGAAACTAATTCTAGGTTTTTTTGGTTTTATTTAGTTTTTTAATCCCATCTTTCTTCTAAATGTATGTATCACTTCCCTCATCAGCTTCCACAAGAGAAAGGAAAAATAAAAACATTTAGATTATGGCCAATTCTGAGAATTATTCTAGTGAGTTTTACAAAGTTACTAAAGGCTGAGCCCAAGGCAAGAAAATGTAGTCATTTTCCCTCTGTAGTGGTTTTTTTATAGTCCTAGCACATAAAATATATTTTAGTAAAATAGAATTATTATAATACCTTTGCATTAGATCAACAGTTTTGCCTGTGTTTATTGAAATGCCTGTTTTGCATTTGGTAAAGGCTGATAGATATAGAATAGTCAAATATAAAAGGATGGCACCAGAACAGGGCAACTAAAAGGCTCAAAGATTGGCATAAAAACATCTATTATCTTTTTTCAACTTGCTCTTAGTAAAGAGCAATGCATAGCTGCCCTACCTTTGGGATAAAAGAAGGACTGAATTATGTTTTGGTAGTGGTGTCTTCTTTCTACTTGTTCTGCAGAAAGGAAGCATTTGCATCGTTCCTATGGAGCTCTAATTTATGCACACATGACTGACATCAGACTATACTGGTCAGCACAGTTTTAGAAAAGAAAAGAAGAATGTATGCTTGGTTCCAGTTACTGCCCCCACCTCTATTTCCCATAGGGATGATGAGCCAGCAACATTTTCTTTTTCAGCATGGAATTTTGTCTGAATTTTTGTAGTTTTCTGGATTAGGGAGACACCTTGCAGGTCCTGCTGGCTGCATCTCATGGACTGAAGGGGTCAAAATGGAAGAATTTAAAATTCAAAAACCCTAGAGTCTGCCAGATTTCATGGACTGAAATATATAAAAGAAATTCCACCCTCTGAATCTTAGTTTACCATAAAAGAAGCAATAAGGGAAAAGAGGGTCCATGAAAACCCTTCAGAGCAAAAAAAATCTTGTAGCTTTGAACCTATTCATGTTAGGTACTGGAAAACACATAAAGAAAATAAATGCACCTCTATGTGCGTGCATGAATTTGAGAGCGATGCTTACAATTTCCATGAGAGAGAGAGAGAGAGAGAAAGATATGCGTGTAGTGACTGGCCAAAAGATTAATGTTATCTGTGAGTATTTTGAAAAAAACAAGAGAGGATTAACAACTATGAGAAATCCCAGAAAGGCAAGAAAGACTCAGAAGACCTTGTTTGCAAACTAGATACCACGAGGGAGTTTCAGAGACACTATATCCATGCAAATAGCTGTGGTAATAGGAATAGACACCTTATACTGAGAGACCCAAGTGAGAAATGTCGCTTAAGCTATGCCAACAATTCTTATTAGTTTAGTAGAGAGACACAGGCAGTCTCACCTTTGTCTTTTTCAATCTCTGATTGTGCAAGAGTTTAGTCTCCTAGAAGTATAAACAAAATCTTTAGGTTAATAGGGGTTATCTGTGTGAAACTTAAATGATCTATTTTAAACGGGAGACCAGACTAGGCCATCCTTTCTGACCTTAAATTCTAAGAAAGGTGAAAGTATCTTCCTGTTGTGGAAAGGATAACTTTCTAATTCTAGAATGGTTTTTGAAGCACTCAAATGCAGTATTTTGCTCTCCTGAGATATCCCAGCTGATGAGAGAACTGCATGTGTGAAGGGAGAAAATAAGCACACAAATTTTCATATGCATCAGAGAAGAGTGACTTGTCTTTCACTATGGACCAAAAAAGCCCTTTCAAATTCCTCCCAAATGAAATAAATACTGTTCATGAGTTCTGCTATGCTATTTCGGATTTTCTAAGAAAGGGAACATCTTTTTCACTGGCTCTAGGCTGGTTTTCTGCTATCTATCTACTACATTTTAGGCTTTTGATTCTAACATGGCCAAAAAAAAAAAAAAAGAGCTCTCTGAAATTAAAAAAGAGGTGGATAAAAATGTACGCCTACAGTTATAAAAATGCATATGTTATGTTGTCTGATAGCTCATGCCAGTGAGAGCTAGAAACTATTGCTTTGCGTGACTGAAATTATATGATTCCAGATTGTGGTAACAAACTTTTGACATGTGCTTTTGTCGATCTGACATCATTATGTAAAAAGTACTATTCTTAGCAGTTATTAGAGGCTTTTTGATTCCACTTATTTTTCCCCTCTGTGTGGAACCTTAGATAGATGGAATTTTAATGTTACTGAAAATCTCTCAACAAACAGAGATACAGCAAGGGTGAGATGAAAGGAACCTCAAATGAGTAGAGGGGATGCAGAAACAGCACACGTGTGAACTGTTTTCCCTCCCCTGTCCTCCTGCCGTTTGCTCGCTGGTGCTCGAGGTTGAGCTGGAGAAGCAGTAGCGAAATGGCAGCTCTGGGCTGTGCCTGGCCTCTTAGCTGCAGCCCTTGTCTGCACCCCAGCAAGCTCATTGCCCTGGGGTGCCTGGAGTGAGGCAACCTCTTTGGTGCTCTTTGGTGCACCAGACCTCTTGCTGCACAGTCTGCTTCTGGTTTGGAGAATCTGGCGGGCAATACTCACCGGCAAAACCCTCCTACTCTCTGACCCTTTGGGGGGCTACTCCCAGACCCTACCCCGATCGTGCAAAGCACTGTGTTCCACAGGATACCACAGAGCTCCCTATTATGAAAGTAAGGTCTATCTGTGGGTCCTTTGATTGTTAAAGTGATATGGCATTTAGCAGCACTTAAAAAAAAGAGTCACACAATTAAATCTTGTAAGCATGTCTTAAAGAGTTTTTATATAACTTATAGAAAATGTATGATTGGAGAGTGAATATTTTACTCAAGGTTCTTTGATGTGACCTTCCTCAAATATCTCTTTACTTTTCTTATATAATTGTTTTAGCTGTCCTAAGAGCTATCCTCCCTTCCCTCTTCCTCTGTGGAGAATTGAGTATATATATTTTAAAGCACTTTATTAGAAACACAATCCTTAGTGAGAATGGATGAACAAATAAATGTTACCAGTCACCTCACTTGTGAAGAAAAAGATTTTATCTGACCCAGAAGAACTGTTATAGAGTTTACTGACTCCATGAAGTAACATAATGTGCTGAGTTTGATTGTGCAACTGTGTGTTAAAAGGATGTGAGTGCACTGCTACAAATTCTCATGTGAGACTGGGAGAGGCCTGAAGAAATTAGAGATGAAAAAAAGGTTTATTAAGTCATTTAGTTCTTGGATCATTCCCTAAAATGTTTTTTCCATTGCTGTGTCCAGTTGGGTTTTAAGCACTGCAAGAAATAGGGCTTCCACCATTTCCCTAGGGGAGCTTGTTCCACAGTCATCTAGATCTAACTCTTAGGAAATTTTTCCTGATTACTCAGAAAAAAATGCCACTGCTTAACTCAATGTAAATTGTGCCTGATTCTGCTGAAGCATGCCAGAAAACTGTTTTTTTCCTCAGTGCACGCTCTCTTTATATATAATATTGCTTTCTTCTGATAGCGCAGAGAAGAGGTTGGTGCTTTCAGATGCATGTGAGTAGGGGATGAATATAATATGAATGACAAAATAGCTTCTAGGAAAACTGATTGTGAGTGGTGTTTTTGTAACAGGTTAATCAATCTAGTAAAAGTAGGATGGTCTAGTTAGAGAAATTCTGTATCTTTTGGTAGACCTTGACAGTCACAGTCTGATTCCTTAAGAGGCTTTGCCCCAAGTGTTCCTAGTGACCAGCTCCACCAAGAGAATCTGAGACCTTAAAATCAGTCTGTTTTCTCTCTACCTTATCCAGTATCAACAGTAAAAATTGTCTTGGGACCAGTACTTTGTTGGCAGCGCTGTTTATTATACCTGAACCTGAACAGAATCTGCTTCATTTTGCTGTAGCTGCAAAGCCTGTACCACACTAACAGAAGCAGAGAAGTAAATATTTTTTATGGCAGTGTGTAACTCCAAATATATACTAGCAAGAGATCTGCTAAATAAGAAAATGTTAATTTTACCTTCTTTCCTACCTTCCCTCCTTCCTAAACTGATAGTATTTCAAGGGATTTAGAGAAAGAAGTCATAGATTTTTTAACATTAATTGAAGTGGGGAGAGTACAGGCTGGAGAAACAGTTAAAGAGAGAAACTACACTTACATAAAGGGTAAGGAAGCAAGTGAGTCAGCATGTGTGACACAAAGAAGATCCAGGGAGAGCAAAAATACATTTGAGAAAAAAAATGCAAAAAGATTTTACTGATGTGTTTAATTCTCTTCCTCTCCCTGGCTCTCCTCACTGTGATCCTGTTCTTCCCAGCAACATAAGTTGCTGGTACTAGTCATATGGCAAAACACATTAATCTTCATTCAAAATACATCTGCAGTTTACAGGTGTGAATAAGCTTTTGTTCTTTAAACTAGAAGTTATCTGGCCAACTTTCTTACTTACAAAATACTTCACCCTTTGTAATACAGAAGAGAGGGAGTATTTTTTCCTTATGTGTGAAACCTTGTATTAAGTTAACTCTGCTAAGACGTAAGTGAAGTATTTGTGATAAGCCACACACGCATTTGTTTTTCATATAGCATTACTTTAATAAACAAATCAGTGTCACATTCCTGCATGACGCAATTTCAACCCATTATTAATCATACTAAATGTTATTTTGGACCTTTACTTTTTTTTCCCCTAAATATTGTCAGTGGAATATTGTAGGCCTCTGCTGTTTTCTTTCAGCGAATTCGAGGTCGAAAAGCCAGTCTGGAGGAAATACAGCTGGTTCACTCTGAACATCATTCACTGCTGTATGGCACCAGCCCCCTGAACAGACAGAAGCTGGACCCCAGGAAACTCCTAGGTCTGTACAGGCCTCTATTCTACTGAGAACAGCACATTCCAGCACTGTCATTAGTCATAGCTGGTGTCAGTTTAAAATACTTGGCAAGCAGTGTGACAAAAATTCACTTTTTCCAAATGCATTGCTATGTGGAATGAGAATGTTACAATGGAAGCCAAATATAGATTAGCAAAATGCACAGGCTGGAAAACAGCAATAGAAGTTTCTCTACATTTGCTTGAAAATCATCTAAATTTTAACCCTATATTGTAATTTGTTCTCCATCAGAGGGCAATGCTAATTTGGAACACAGCTGGTTTTCTGTCTCTTTGTATTCTTCGATTTGAAAATGGGAGTTTAAGATACACTTGCTTGTCAGAATTGCTTGTTTGCTGTTCTCATTTGCTTTATTTCAATCATTATTTGAGCCACAGTGAGTGCAGATACCATGCTTAGGCGTCACTAAGATGTGAACTTTATTTTAATGCCTTCCCATTATGCTGAATACGATACCTTTCTCAACAAAAGGAAAAAAAAAACATATTAATATATTAAATGGACCTATGGATATACAGGATAGCAGAAAACTGACAACATTATCATGTGATACATCTCTATGCATAGTCAGTGCTCAGGGTATGCTTTCATAGTAGGAAAAGTAGGGTTAAATTCAGCTCTGTAATAGGTGTAGCATGAAGCAGAGCATCTTGTCAGACCTACTGTGAATGTGAAAGGAAACACAATAGTGCTGTCTGGAAATAATCTGTGACTGAAATCCTGCCCTTTATGTCCCAGCACATTAGAAGCAATACTAGAAATTGCTGCTATTTTTATAACACTCATTCTAAGATACGAAGTTTTCCCTATAAATATAATAAAAAACAAACCAAGTAAAAACAGTACTAGCTATCAAAAGAAATTACTGCCACAGTTCTGGTAAAATGTAGAAATTATTTTGCTTTGGAAGTTGATGCTAAGAGTTTCTTCTGTAAGGCAGACTTGCTTCAGAGAAGATTAGATAAGAAAAATGTCTCCATCACAGTGTTATCTAACTTTATACACCTTCTTAGTGAAGACATCATCAAAGGTTAAAAATACTTGTAGTATGATGCATTAAGACAGGAGCTAGAATTACCTATGTACAGGAGATTCGTCCTTTTAAAAAAAAAAAAAAGTTTTTGCAAGAAAAATCATGTATTTAAAAATTCCTGCAAAATGAAAATTTGGAAGTATTTTGATTTGGGTTCATTGACATTGTCAAAATGTTCCATTTTGATAGAGTCAAGCATTTCATTTAGATTTTATTGTTTTTGATTCATTTCATTTTAATTTTTACATTATTAAATATAACATACAATGATATAAAATATTGTTCCCATTTTGGATCTCAAAGGTCGACTGGCACATGGGATGCAGCGTGTAGTTTCAGTCATAGGGCAAAAAAAGTAATGCACTCGGGTTCTCCTGCTTCAATCCTGCCTATGTATAAAGACTGCAGAAAGCTTTGTTTATTTAATCTTAGAAAATCATTTCTTTGCTCACAGTTCTTTTATTCAACACTCTTTGCCTCTTTTATTCGACACTCAGTCCAAAACATTTACTCTCTGAGTTTATATGAAGATCACACTCCTAGCATATATTCTGAGAGTATCCTTGGCTTAACGCCCTTTACTGTCTCTGTTTGTAGGATGTTTTCCTGCTGTCTCTCACACAGCCTTTTACCAAGACAACAGTCAATGAAACACCCTTCGCACATGCTTTTGCATGTGTCCATGTTTTGGCTGGAGTTTCGAGTTATTTGAGCTTTCTAACTCTCATATAAAGGAACTTAATTCTCTGTCATATTTTCTCAAAACGAAGTGTTACTGTTCCGCCTTTCATTGTCCCCAGCTCAGTGACATTGAGCCTAGTCAATTCTGACATTAAAATTAACATTTTGGTGTAGTATAAAAATTTAAAATGATGTGTGGCAAAGAAGAATAATCTAAAGGAAATGTTTCTCTTCAAAAATATCATCAATAACAACATCATTTCATGAAATATTTCTATTTTGATGAAAGTGCATTTTTCCTCCATCAGAAAATGGCTTTGCATCCTAATGAAAAGGAGGACCTAACCATTCCTTCTCAAAAGACAGAGGCACAGTTTGTTCTCCACTTGCAATCCAGAGAAGTATTTGTTCCCTCTATATAGTAGGAAGATTACACCTGTGTTGTTTGAAGCTCTTTTATTGCTGAAAAGCACTTTCTGTATCTTTCAGACAGAAAAGAAACAGTTGAGGGAATGAAGTTCAAGTACAACAAAGGATAGAAGTGTCCTCTTTACTTCTCCTAACTACTTATTAATGAATGCTTATTTCAGTGTCCATATTCAAGAAAAAACTCTCGAAGACTGCAAAGCAAAAAAGCTGTAAACTACTGAAATCAGTGAGAATTATGCACACAGTTTTAGTTCTCATGTTCTTAATGCTTTCAGAATATAAACTGGCTTGAACTCTTGGCTTTATTTGCCCTGAATCAGGGCCTGCAAATGCAGCTATTGCAAGTGATCACTTCAATTTTTACACTATTGAGCAGTTAAGCTTTTGACTGATCATATTTCATTGCGGTATGTTAAGCAACATGTTATGTTGCATTACATTTTCTTGACATGAAGGAAACTAGTATGGAGACTATGTGTCAACTTGCATTATGGTTTCATGTGACAGAATAGAACCTTTCAAACCTCTTTGAATAAGCTTAAGCGCAGAGCAGTTTCCAAACAGGTCTTAAAAGTTTGTTTGCTTTTTCCCTCTCCAACTATAATTGAGAAAGTGTTTCTAAAAGCAAGCTTCCAATGATTACAAATTTGTGAAAATGAGACATATGCTGCCAACATATCCCTAATAGTGAGGCAGTTTTTAAAGTACAGCTACAGTATGCATTCACAGAGCATCTGCAAGTACATTACACTTTCAAGTCAGTTAAAAAATGACCATTTAGCAGAAATGGCTTCATCCTCGAAGGATGATACTAGGAAACCATTAGGTTCCTCAAACCCATATTGGTGAACTGTGCCTTTTCAAAAATTAATATGCTTTTATGTTCTTTTTTTTTTCTTTTGAGAGACTTTTTTGCCCATCACTTTTATGGCTCATTAGACTCTTAGTTCTCAGCTGTCAATATCCTCAGCAGATTCTTGAACTTCTGTAGGGGCCTCTCGACCTCAGTGATAGGTGCTGTAAGACTTAAATTTGATTTACCACTTCTACTGCCTTTGTGGGGTGACATTTTAGAAGACAAAACTTTGGTATTTTTTCTATCTCTATCTGCAAATTATTTTGGTGAATCTTCCATAAAAAGTCTTTTTTTTCTTCAAATGATTTGCTGTTGATTGCAAACTCTGTCCTGGTGAAAAGCCAGAAAAGTAAGGCTTTCAAATTTTCCTCCTATCTCACTTGAAATATCCCAGGATCTTTTCTTATTCTGGGGGTATCCTGGGGTAAGGGAGGGAAACCACTGAGTATTTACCAGATTCTTCTGGGACATCACTTCCAGTCATCATGGGAATTTCTCACGTTGATTCATTCTCACGGTTTGATTTTGTTACTGCTTTTCATTTTTGGTGAGGAATGTTGGGAGAGCTTCTCTTTCTGTGAAGAGGGATAGGTGAGGGTCTTACTCTCTCTTAATGGAAGCTTTCCACACACTGATCTTTCCAAGAAGTGTTCGTGTTTCTTTTGTTCTGTAAACTCTGTTATCTGCTTTTCTGACTATTGTGCAATAGATAGCGAATATCCTGGCAAGTTTCTTGATATATTGAAAAGTCATTGTGCTTGTTTTTGCCAGTTCTAGTACTGTCTGTTGATTAATTTTAGTCCATCTGTTTTCTTGTCTGTTGATTAATTTTAGACCATCTGTTTTCTTGTCTTAACTTTCTGTTTGTTTGTTTTTATTAGCGTTTATCATCCACAATATGCCCAGTTGCGTGGAGTTAAATGCGAATTCATCAATTCTTTCTTATGTCCCAACTGTGCAGTGGAATTGAAGAAAAAGGATCTAGTCATTCAATATTCTGAAAATGCCTTCTTTCATCTCACTTTACAGCTTATGTTCCCGTTGACTTCTCCTGACACTTTAACAGCACTAATTTTTAGTTATCTGTTCAAGACTTTTTGATCTTCGCCTCAGTAAAAAGTGAAAAATTGCTGTTCACATTTGGTCACTGGGTCTGCTTAGCAAGTGATCTGGAAAATCCTACTAGACCTCTACTCTGACAAGCTCCTTCAGCCAATATATCCTTGTATGTCTGGGGCCATGCCATTAGGACTCACAGTATGAGGATGCTCGGCATAGCTGCCGCACCTGCGTTTCCCCTGGTAACTCTGCGGGAGGCTTTGTTTGGGTTCTCTTGCACACTGTGCAAACTGATCAAAGGCCTCTGGCCAGTTAAAGATGCATCTTGGATTTTACTCAAAGTGTAAAGCACTTTCTTCATCTCAGGCCTTGCAGCCTAGTTTCTCGTACTTCAAAGATGATGGCTCATAATTGTCTTTATACATTTCATTGGCACCTGTTAAATATGAGTAACTGTAGTGTTTGCCTTTTCCTTAACAATGGGTGGCTACTCTTAGGTAACTTGAGTGACTCACTATCTAACATTTCCTCCATATGGCAAAGTTACAAAGCTAGTTCGTGATACGGCAGGGGAAAAGAGTATGTTCTCTTCCACAGCTGCCTTAGGATCAAATTACATGCTTGAATAGCAACTGCATCAAATCCTGAGATCCTTACTTGGTTTTACTAGTGCCCTTATCAAGACAAACAGTGAGTTTAGTGGTTTAAAAAAAGAAGACATGAACGAATAAAAAGGGAGAATAAGTGTTAAGATAAAAATCATCATATTATCTAATGTATAAATCAGGATAAGTAAGAATTTAGGTTTTAAGTCTGCTCATTAATTTTTTAATGTAGTCTTCCTTTCTATTTACTGAGTAATACTGAAATAAATAGTATTTCATTTTATGTTTAAAAAATATTGATGTATTCATTGAACATAGTGAAATACACTTTTGCACAGACAGGAAGATAAAGACTGAAATTTTCAAAGGAGCTGAGTGAACTAGGCACCTAGAGCAGGAGTCAGCTCAGCTAACTTTTTGGATAGGTGAAATTAAGAAATTAGTCTTCAGTTCCGTGCAAGCTTAATGAGGCTCCCTCTGTTGCCAGTGAAAAGAAACAGGCACTTCTCAAATATAATTCATTCCATCAGTCACCTAGTCTGGGTAGAGGTGCCTACCTCTCCTCACTGACTGTAGAAGAAGCTGAGATGACTAGCTTAGACAAACTGCTTAACTTTCTGGCAGCTAACGATACTGTGATGACTACTAGCCCTCATTCAGGCTTGCTGTGGAGATTGGATCATTATGTATATGCTCCTTTGGAACTGCTTGCTTACGAATTTTAAGATTTGCCACTGTTGCAAAAAAAGTAACTTCAGTAGCCCATGGCTAATTTGCTTTCTAAGTATTATTAATATTTTTATTCTAATGTATGATATTCGGATTGCGCAATATAAAAATTCAGGAATCAGAATTACTGTAATGAGAGCTAACTGTTCCAGTTTTTGATAAACAATGCTTATTGTTTCTTCTGTCTTTAATATATAGGAAACGTGTCTCAAAAACTTTTTTCCTTGTTGCCTTGTGGGGGACTTGGGGTAAGTAGATGCTATTTTCTTTGCAAGGGGGACAGCATACAACAAATGTATTCATGATCTTGTTAGCATTGTTGCATTATCGATTTAAAGGCTTCAGAACCTAATAATTAATGCAGAGATGAAACCTGAGCCATTATCATACAATATTTTTAAAGACACAGAAGATAGTACATTGACATAAACTTATGGAAGAGTTAAATAGGAATATATTTTGTTGTGATAATGTGCAAGTTTCCTAGATGTCCTACATTTTTTTGCATGGGGTCTTTATTTTTGAGAAAAATTATGCAGGTATGGCTGTTCATAGGAGAACGGACTTTTAAGAAGCTGTCTTACGGGCTGTTTAAAAGGAAATACAGCTTTACATCTCTCAGAGAAGAAAGAAGTTACCAACACTTTCAGCATAAACAGAACTGCTTGCAGCTGCTAGAACTTTGTTAGATGCTGGTAAACTAACTCAATAACTAAACATTTTTATATCCTGTTTTGACACTAATTCATTCTGAGATGTAAGCTTGCAAATCTGTATTAGGACTCAGTGGACTTACAGTTGTAGGTGAAAATCTGTTACAAAACTAGGAGAAGAATTACTGTAAATTATTGAAAAGAATAGAACGGAGAATATCTAACGAAGTTTGCATCATGCTCATGTTAAATTCTAGTGAGGATAATACATGGGAGAAATATTTTTCTATCCACATTTTTCTTCACACAGAGGCATTCTACGCTTTTTCATCCAGCTGGCTCCACTACTTCTTGATGTCGGCAGTATCAAAGTGAAATGCTGATATTACTGGCTATTGATGGCCTGGCTGGATGATGTAAATATCTTTTAGTTTCTGTTCACTGTTTCTTCGTATGTAAGAATAAAACCGCAATCTCTGGAGTGCAATTGGAGCTATAGGCCAACTTCCAATGCGATCTTACACTGTTTTTCTTCTCTCTACTATAGCTCACCAACATATTTTATTTACTTTTGTCCTTCACAAAGGATAAGTTCCATATCACAGTAACCTTTTTGCTGTTTTTTTTTTTAATTATGAGATGGCATCATGAAGCCTGAAACTGCCAAAATAGATATTCAGACTGTAAGAATTTTTAAAAAATAAATATATTTTCCTTTTTAGCTTTCACTGTTTTTTAAACTTTTTAGGATTTACGAACTATGAATTAAGGAACAAAGGATCAAGAGGTGGTAGTCGTTCCAGGTCCTGTAATGTGGATTTATGCTTCCTAGGGATTCTGCCTAAAATTTTGAACTCAGTGATTAACAACTTGCTATATTTGAAATGTGGGGATCATTTCTGCATACGAAATAACTAACATTGCACATAGGTATATATGCAAGCATGTGCACATGCACCTGTATGCCTGCATGCACACACACGTGTGCACACTTTTATATATAAAAAGGTGAAAATAATTGTCATTAAGACAATTTTCTCACTATTTTTACAGTTATTAGGAAATTTAGAGAGAACTGAACAAGAGATTTTATAGGCTTTAGAATGTAAAAATGATTGTGGTATTCTCTGAAAGATGGAATTATAAATGATTTTTTCTATGAAACAGATTATTGAGGCATTAATGAATTATGTCAGAAAAATCTTGAATAGGAGTGTGCTTTGAATTTTTTTGTAATGAAAGAAAAGTATGTTGTCCATTGTAAAGCTAATGCAAGCCAGAAATGCTCAGTGTAACTTCATTTTTTAAGCACTTAAATTTATCTATACTTTTTTTTTGTGTGGCTATTTGCTTTGCTTCTGATTTAAAATTAGGAAATGGATTAAAGAACATATTATAGAAATGGATCCTTTATTTATTTATTTTTTTATTTCTAGTTGGTTTGCCTTTCTACATATTATTATTGTCAGGCTTGCTATGGTACTTTTGTAAAGGAATGGGTTATGACCTTTTTCAAGATAAATAATCAGATCAGGAGCTCTCTTTTACTGATATTTAGTTGTCTAATAGTTAAGGTGAGCCCTAGCAATGAGAGCCACTTCACCCTGTGTGGAAAGCAATCCCTTTATGTATTTTTGAAAATGATAGTGGAAAAAAAGAAGCATTACTACTGAGTGGTTTTCGATACAATGGAGGGAGGAAATGAAGCAGTAAGCAGTGTAAAGCAGTAAGATCAGGGTGTGGTTCATGGGAAGACTGTACGGGGGGACAGAAGAGTGAATTTATTTATTTTCTTTTTTATTTCTTTTTCTTGCTTACTTGGTTGTTTGCTAAAAAGTACAATGAGAAAGAGTATTATTACTAAAAAAAAATTTCCATTCTTCCATTTATGACTGTCTCTTGAAGAATGGTTTTCAGAGCTCTTTTATCCTGTTGCCTTCTAACCATATGGGGACCTTGCTGGCTGTCATTATGCAGCCCTTTTATTATGAAATAGATTAGTGGTTAGACTATTCACACAGGGAATGGGAAAACTAGGCATATTTCTCTCCGCTACCAGGCTGGATTTAATAGCAGATCTCCCATCTCTCAGTGGGGGGAGGGTATCTGTAACCATTGAGGAGATCACACACTGTTTTTGGTTGAGGACCCCTCACATGATGCCTGAAGCTGTCCACTATTGAAAGGAATTCAGGACTCCTGGGGCTATAAGACAGAGCAGAAGAGAGGTAAAGGCCATTTATCTAAGTCTGTGATCTATCTACCATGAATTTACAGGTAAAGTGAAGTTCTAGCTTTCAGCCCCTGCTCCAGAGACAGCTTATATATTTCACATGAAAGAATCACTGGATAAAAAATTACCAACTCGCGGAGTGAGGGCTGGAACCTAGGACTCCATAGGCAGTGAATACCTGATGAGCTGATGTGCTGTAAAGCTTGTACTAGCATGAGCTTGGGATGGTTTGCACTTCTCCTGGAGAACTTAAAGGCCCAACCAACCTCTGTAATTCTGAATTCCATCATATTATTCATTTTGTTCAATAGTGCCAAGAAATCGCAGTCAAGATCAGGGTTCCTCTTCTTTCAATATTATCTATAGTTATAGTAAAAGAAAACTCTTTCAACAATTTTGCAAAGAAAGGCAGTGTAAATAGCAAAACTCCTATATTTGCTGATCCTGTTTCATCATAGCTCTAAAGCTTTCACTTCAGTGCAAATTGTATGTAAAGCTGCCATTTACTTTTTAGTGATTTTGTAAAAATTTTTCATCCATATGAATTTGCTTCCAAGTAGTGAAAGTAGCTGCTTATGTCAGGGTCATTGGTGAATCTGTCTTGGTATGTTCAAAGCTTTCAGAAGAAAACCAGACAGTGAACTCCACAGTTTTATCAGAAACTGTACAAGTAGTAAATTCATCTCTCCATCTATGAAAATGAAGCTGTTTAATACCGGCAGCCAAATTACACAGGTGTCACAGATCAAGAAAGAAATATTGACTAAATCTAACCTCCTAAATTTTCCCGTAATAGGTTTTCTTTCAATGATGGTTCATTATCATAGGACTATGCAGGGTCAGCAGTACAACAGCCCCTGAAGTATGGGACCTCCCTTTTGCAATAATGCTTTGTATTCTTTTTTCAAGTCTGACATTGTTCCAGGACCAGCTATTCTTAAGCAATCCTAAATAGTGGGGGGTGAATTTCCTTGTGTTCAAGAAAGACAAACAGCTCAAAGGCCAGTGGTTTTAATAACAAGAGATGGTTCCTTGCAGCTGGTCAGAGGTTAGGAATGTGAAAAGTATTCCAGAAGAGATGGGTAGATTGCAGGTAAAATGGTCAAAAAAGGAGAATGATCACAAATTATTTTTTGGTTCTGTGGATGATCAGGCAATTCCACAGTTTTTTATCTGTATATAGGCATTAGAGAAATAACTGATTACTTGATCAAGGCATGCACCTATTTCAACTCCTCCCCTTCTGTTGTGCTAAGAAAATGACAATAAATGAAGCAGAAACCTACTTTTAATTCATCTCCTTGCCTCAGTCTGTCACTAAAAATAGTGATTGTTTTTCTGCCTGTTTGACCTGCTGCTGTGTGAAGAAATCTTGAAGTCATTTCTCAGCCATATTTTTTTGTCTACTTGATAGGCAAAAAAACCCACAAAAGCAAAGAAGAGCAGGCTTTTATGATAATGTCATCATCGGCTCCCAGCTTCAAACACTTCTGCGGCTTTTGAATTGTCATTTATAACTTGGAACTGAACCGACCCATAATTCCCTTGATGCATTTAGAGAAATTGATAACAGACTGCTTCTTTTATGGCTCAGAGGAGGCAACTCCAATCACATCACTATTGGCAGTCAATATTATTTTCTGACATGGTTGTAAAAGTATAAAGGGACTTATGGCATTTGTTTAGATGAGGAATGGGCTCTCAAGCTGTGCTGGGGTTTATGGGTCCAGATTACTGAGAAGCAAAGGGAATATGATGTTTGCAAACAGGATATGATTTTATTTAAGTTTGGGTTTCATACGTTGTTCCCTGGGGATTGCCCTGCAGACAGAAGAGAATTTCACTTTTATCATATGAAATTGGGCAGTTATCCAATTCAAAAAAAAAAAAAAGACATTGCTCCAAACCTGTACTGTGCAAAGTCAGGTCTTTGAATTGCAAGAGAAGGAGCTGAGGAAGAACATCACCCTGAAAGAAATCAGACTTATGCAGAATAAATGTTTGGTGAGCTGAACAGCGTGGTTCATGTGCTAAATATTGAGCTATCTGAAGACGAAGGCAGTTACATTTATGGAAAGTGCATTGCATTCCCTGTAATTTTGCTTTTGTAGCAGTAAAACAGGGATCAGATTTTCTTCTGGGATAAGCTGTGTTGTTTCATTAACTTTTTGCATACTTTAGATCTTTCATACTCGAAAAGAATTGGGGCCAGTAACTATATATATATATATATATAAAAAGTAAAGCTATAAAATATCTCTATACTTTTATAAATCCTTCAAAATGCTCAAAGAATCTTTCTAAATACTCTGAATGTTGAATCAAAGGAGTTCAAGACTTGCATGTAGATGTACATTTAAAT